TCTTTTTGAATTTCGCAGTATGTTTGACATCATCGAAGTGAGTACTTACCTATTCGTGGTTTCAGGGGTAGGGTCACATCTCCTGACCCCTGGCACATTGCCGTGTTTCCTGTTAAAGCTCACCCCTCAATGGAGGTTCCTCGACACTGGTGAGGGGCTCTTGATTTAGGGAATTAGATCTGTGCTCCAGTTCCCTAAATTAAGCCTGAATACCTTCCCCCCCCCCCCCCCAGGCGCTGTATAATCCTACGGGTTTAGTGCTCCCCCATGATTATAATAATTATAATTATATTAAAACTCATTGCAATCTGGCGACAGCTTTCCAATTCAGCCAAGAGAATGATTTTGATACGTTCTTCTTCTGACAAAGGCATTCTTAAAGAGTATTTGAAAAAAGGAAAAAATATGAGCTATGTATGGAGACTTTTGAGACACCTTGTAAGGAGTCCCTTGTTATGCAAAGCATTTCGAGCAGTAATTATGTACCTAGGAGTTAGTTGACGCTATGGTGGGTCACATCCTGGGGAAGACCGAAGACCCAAGTTGAAATAAGCCACATTGTTTGGCCTTCTAAGATTATCCTGGATTATTAACTCACCGAGTTAATTATTCAAACAAAGTCAGCTTTTTTCAACCAGTGATAATTTAAAAAATAAATAAACGAGTTATCCCAACATTAAATATAGTTTTCTCCGACTTTAATCACTTCATAGAAAATGTTTTTCTGTTTCTTTAGCATGAGTAACTGATTTTTTTTACGCAGTTTCATAAGTAAGTAAGTTTATTCAGGTATACACAAATACAGTTACATAGAATTATCATACATAGCAGCATATGTGTAGAGAACCTAGGATAACCCAAAAAAGTCAGACAGAGTGACTTATTTCCATTGGGGTCCTTTTACCTTATTATTGTAATATAAAGGTTATAATATTTTCTTATTATTCTATAATGAAGATAACATCTTATTATCATACTAAAAAGACTATCTACTACACGAGGGTCATTAAGACTATCTACAATACGAGGGTCATTACTAGGAATAAGGTAAAATTTACACGTATGTTAGCTAAAAAATAGAAAATCATTCCCCTCCCTTTCTGTAGCTACATTCATCAGACACCTTTTGGCACTCTTCTTGAACTGGTTCATGCTATGACTGGCTTTGACATGTGCGGTTAGTCTGTTCCATTTCTTTATTCCTGTACAATAAAAGGTGTTTGAAGCCTGGCCAATGACTATGGGTACTACAAAGTTGTGCTCTCTCCCCCTAGTACTATGATTGCTTTGGTTCCCAACCTTAACAAAATTGACAGCAAGATATTCTGGACACTGTTTCTGAGCAATTTTATAAACATGATTTAGCTTCAGTTGTTCTACTTTGTCTTCAACGCGACCGTCATTCATCTGTCTGTTTTGCCTCTGCACAATAGTTTGAGGTCCTGGATTAATTTGGATATCACCACTTAAGAGCGCTACAATAAGAGTTGTGTGCCACTGTTTTTGTTTGGGTATGCGGTGTTGCATACCTTGTGGCGATAGTGACATTTACTTTTCTGGTAGGATGGCAGCTGTTGGGCTTTTGTCCAGGGCGCTGTTACTCCATTCATCTTTTCCAGCCCCCATGACTGATTTCTTTCTTCATGGAATTGAAGAAGAAAGATAAATATAATTATGGCAGCCTGTACCCCCCGGTGGCCTGGTGGCTAAAGCTCCCGCTTCACACACAGAGGGCCCGGGTTCGATTCCCGGCGGGTGGAAACATTTCGACACGTTTCCTTACACCTGTTGTCCTGTTCACCTAGCAGCAAATAGGTACCTGGGTGTTAGTCGACTGGTGTGGGTCGCATCCTGGGGGACAAGATTAAGGACCACAATGGAAATAAGTTAGACAGTCCTCGATGACGCACTGACTTTCTTGGGTTATCCTGGGTGGCTAACCCTCCGGGGTTAAAAATCCGAACGAAATCTTATCTTAATGCCTGCCATTTTCACTCTTCGCTCTTTTACTCATATACAATAATATTTATTTCTCTTTTCCAGTCCCTAGTACACTTAGTATCTGCTTTAGCAATCACCACTGAATTACTAGTAAATTTTCTTCTTCAAAACCCTCTTCACTGCTCACTTTTCCCTTAACTTCACAAACCCCTTTCAGTTAACCCCTTATTACACACTCCCCTTCCCACCTCACTTCACAGTCCGGCTTCACCTATTAACTTCTAGCTCCTTTCCATTCTGGTAGACCAGAAAGGTTTAATCAATGGTTTTATCCTTCCAAATCCCCTTCAATTCCATTTATCGGGGGTTGTGTCGTGTTGTTGACTGCCTGACCTGGTCTGCTGACTCGGCCATTTTTAAATCACTGAGGAAAGTAAACGCCACCTACAACCTGACTTTCCTTGAGTTTGTAGATATATTTGGCGTTTTCTGCTATAATTCTCTCACTGTACACTGGTCAGTTGAATATAGGTCAGCTACTAAAACATTAACCTTGACTGTTTAACTATTCACTTCTTTCCCACGACTGGCACTGAGGGATAACCGTCCTATAACCTTGGAGTTTTGCACTGTTGATTTGACGATGTCTCCTGTGTTTCCCTCTCGTTAGCACTGGTACAGGTGATATGATGGTGGTACAGATATGATGCTACTGTCAACAGATGAACGTCAGTAAAGATGAGAATTTCACTTCGCTAGTTGTACGTCTGGCAGTAGCTGGTGTTTGGATGCCGGTCAGCCATGTTTAAATGCTCAATTCTTTCCCTCGTTTGGCACTGAAGAAAAAAGTCCTACAGACCTGTCATTTCCTTGGAGTTTTGTTGATCAGGTTTTCTGCCATGTTGTCTTCCCGTTGAACACTGGTGCAGTTGATATGGAGGTCAGTTATTTCATTGTAGTGGAAAACGTCTCATGTCTGGTTCACGTCTGGCAGCAGGTCTGGTACTTGAATGCCGGTCCCTCTTTTGTCATATTTCACCACAAGTTTATATTCAGGTCCAAATCCAATATACAATCTTTGGTTGAGAGTATATGTACCAACAGATGTGTATCTCTTAGTGCGTATACACTGAGAGTCTATTTTAATTCTTGTTTCAGGGTTTGTAGGTTTTTATCTAATGAACCCTGTACCTTGTACCTTGTTCAGCTATCAAAACTTGGGGCCCAGTCCCTGGACCCATTATGTGCCTCTGTAATCTGTAAATACCTTTGTAACTTGTCATAAGTGCGACCAGATCTACCTGGAGTTCATTACCTTTGTAACTTGCTCAGCTATCATAACTTTGGGGTCCAGTCCCTGGACCCATTATGTGCCTCTGTAATCTGACTATCGCCCACATGATGGGTATGGTATGGGGGTGTGCATAATAAAAATATTAAACTAACAATCTAATGAACACAAAGAGTAGTAGTAGTCAACAGAGTCAAGTCCGAGGCAGCTACGGTGAAAAGCTCTGTTCCACAAGGCACAGTACTCGCTCCCATCTTGTTTCTCATCTTCATATCTGACATAGACAAGGATGTCAGTCACAGCACCGTGTCTTCCTTTGCAGATGACACCCGAATCTGCATGACAGTGTCTTCCATTGCAGACACTGCAAGGCTCCAGGCGGACATCAACCAAATCTTTCAGTGGGCTGCAGAAAACAATATGAAGTTCAACAATGAGAAATTTCAATTACTCAGATATGGTAAACACGAAGAAATTAAATCTTCATCAGAGTACAAAACAAATTCTGGCCACAAAATAGAGCGAAACACCAACGTCAAAGACCTGGGAGTGATCATGTCGGAGGATCTCACTTTCAAGGACCATAACATTCTATCAATCGCAGCTGCTAGAAAAATGACAGGATGGATAATGAGAACCTTCAAAACTAGGGATGCCAAGCCCATGATGACACTCTTCAGGTCACTTGTTCTATCTAGGCTGGAATATTGCTGCACACTAACAGCACCTTTCAAGGCAGGTGAAATTGCTGACCTAGAAAATGTACAGAGAACCTTCACGGCGCGCATAACGGAGATAAAACACCTCAATTACTAGGAGCGCTTGAAGTTCCTGAACCTGTATTCCCTGGAACGCAGGCGGGAGAGATATATGATTATATACACCTGGAAAATCCTAGAGGGACTAGTACCGAACTTGCACACGAAAATCACTCACAACGAAAGCAAAAGACTTGGCAGACGATGCACCATCCCCCCAATGAAAAGCAGGGGTGTCACTAGCACGTTAAGAGACCATACAATAAGTGTCAGGGGCCCGGGACTGTTCAACTGCCTCCCAGCATACATAAGGGGGATTACCAACAGACCCCTCGCAGTCTTCAAGCTGGCACTGGACAAGCACCTAAAGTCGGTTCCTGACCAGCCGGGCTGTGGCTCGTACGTTGGTTTTCGTGCAGCCAGCAGTAACAGCCTGGTTGATCAGGCTCTGATCAACTGGTTCATAGCATGAACCAGTTCAAGAAGAGTGCCAAAAGGTGTATGATGAATGTAGCTACATAAAGGGAGGGGAATGATTTTTTATTTATTTTTTTTTAGCTAACACACGTGTAATTTTACCTTATTCTTAGTAATGACCCTCGTATTGTAGATAGTCTTAATGAACCTCGTGTAGTAGATAGTCTTTTTAGTATGATAATAAGATGTTAGCTCCATTATAGAATAATAATAAGATATTATCACCTTTATTTTATAGTAATAAGATAAAAGGACCCCAGTGGAAATAAGTCACTCTGACTTTTTTGGGTTATCCTCGGTACTTTACACATATGCTGCTATGTATGATAATCTATGTAACTGTATTTGTGTATATCTGAATAAATTTATTTACCTACTTTACTTACCGTCCAGATTTGTGCAAAATCTGCGTCTTGAGGCCAGAGGTCCACCCCGTCCCAGGTGGGAATTTCTGGTCCCCGTTTTACTTTCCCGAGGATTATTATTATAATCAAAAACAACCTTTCCGGGGGAAACTTTCCTTCCTTTCTCATTCACTGCCAGATTTGGGCAATATATCCCTCCCTGCCGCCCCACCCACCCTTTTCCCATAGACTGGAGGGTGCCAGGAGCTATAAATAGAGTGTCAGTTCTAGTGGCAGTGTATAACTCCCGTAGACGACCATCAGTGCCAGGCCCTCATACCCACTGGTAATTATACATTAACACTGTTGATATCGCCTCTTTCTCCATATTTTCATGGATAATGTATCATTAACAAACAGTAGTTGTAGCTGGATATTGTTAAGTTAAATTATATTTAATGGAGTTTAATCGTATTCATAAAATTGCCCACAAGCAGTTTCCAGAATATCTTAATGGCGAGATTTTCAAGGTTAAGTAGCAAGTTTATTTAGGTACAGGTGGTATAAACCTTTGTACACATAAGTACAGGTACACATAAGTACAGTTACCTTATACATGTATAGTGTAATTACTCAGGATAACCAAAAAAAGTCAGTGACTTATTTCCATTGGGGTCCTTTTAAGTACTTAAGTTTATTGAGGTACAGTTACACACAAGTACAGTTACCATACATAGTAACATAAGTGTAAATTACCCAGGATAACCCCAAAAGATAGTCTTATTTACATTGTGACTTATTTCCATTGGTACTAGACGAAGTGAGCACAATTTTGTAGTGCTTAAAGTAGGTGGTCAGGACTCAGACATCTTTTATTATACAGCAATAACTTTTTTGGGGACTGTCCTACGTAATTTACACATGTTACTTATGTATGATAATTTGTGAAACTATATATATGTATGCGTATCTTTATCTAAATAGACTTAATTGAACATGTCAAGGTCATGTCTAACATGAGCCAGTTCAGAATTTTGTTTGGATTTTTAACCCCAGAGGGTTAGGCACCCATGGTAACCCAAGAAAGACAGTGTTTCATTGAGGGACTGTCAGTCTTATTTACATTGGGATCCTCAGTCTTGTCCCCCAGGATGCAACCAGTCGACTAATACCCAGGTACCTACTTGCTTGTTAGGTGAACGGAGACATCAGGTGTAAGGATACACAACCAATGTTTTCATCCTTTCTAGGAATCGAACTACAGTCACACTGTGTGCGAGGCCCCTATGGTTTTAAAGCTTTACTATTGAAGTAATAATATTAAAATTACCATTATGGGTTAGCACTCCCCATGAATATACTAATGATATACTGTACTTAATCTGAGTTTTTTTTTACATCTGTTCCACCAGCAGGTCCAGTTTTACCTTAAAAGAGATTCACAGATAACCCCAAGCCAGCCTAATATTTAATGGGACTTGGGAAAAATTCTGCTCAGATAATAATCTTTATTTGTACAAGTGCATGTACAAGGTATACAAACCATAGCTGACAGCAGTGACATGCTACTATATAATAATAATAATAATAATAATAATAATAATAATTATAATATTATTATTATTATTATTTTAATCTGACATGATACATAGTTGTGCAATGGAATATAATAGTAGAGTGTACATGCCGAAAGCCCCCTGTATGCAGAGCATATCGGGCAAATTAGGTCAATTTTGTTTCCAGGATACATAAGGAGGATTACCAATAGACCCCTGGTTGTCTTCATGAAGGCACTGGACAGGCACCTCAAGTCAGTACCTGACCAGTCGGGCTGTGGTTCGTATGTCAGGTTGTGTGCGACCAACAGTAACAGCCTGGTTGATCATATCCTGATCCACCCTTAGGTCTGGTCACAGACCAGGCCTTGGAGGCGTTGACCCCTGAAACCCTCTCCAGGTATACTCCAGGATGCGACCCACACCTGTCAACTAACACCCAGGTACCTATTTTACTGACAGGTGAACAGGGACAGCAGGTGTCTTAAGGAAACATCCTGATATTTCCACCTGTATGGGAATCAACTCCCCAGACCTTAGTGTGTGAGCTGAGCGCGCTACCAATCAAGCTATGGGACGACTCAAGAAAGCCAAGCAGTGTGGCTTATTTTCATTTGGGCCCCTTTTTGGTCCTCCCCCAGGACTCGACCTACAATCATGCATATACGAAATGTTTTGTATATTCAGTGGATTTCCAAATAGCTTGTGCTTCTTCATAACTACGTTACTGTAGTATGTATTTGTATGCGTAACTATTGGAAGATTTATTTGGAAATAAAATTAATTTTTCGTTTTTAACAGGTGAGTGAATCCTAGGTATGTACTGGTATTTACCCTAGGCAACAGGGTAAGCAGGTGATAGTTACTGCTATACCGATCTCGGGTAACATAATAAGCCTCGAGTTTCCTATATTATATGAATTGTACATTTGCTAATTACTACAGTACAGTACTTCTAGCTAACTACAGGTGCTCCTTGACTTATGATGGTTTTGACTTTACAATGGTGCAAAAGTAATTATTTTGGAGATGAAACTTAAAATAATTACCCAGCATGAAGGTGGCAAGTCCATAACTTGTATTCTTTATTTACTTTTCAATACTGGTATTTAGTTACAGTAATTATTTGTTTACTTACTTATTCAGTGACGGTAGTTATTTATTTACATATCTATTTCACATATCATATTCATATTCAACTTACAGTATTTTTGACTTATGATGGCTTCGTCAGAATGTGACCTCATTGTAAATCGAGCAGCACCTGTAATTATAATAGGTACTTCTCATTTTCATTTAATCAGCTGAAGACTTTATATCAAAATGCTTAACCTATTACCCAGTTGTATTGAAATATTCTTATCAACTGATATGTGAGATTTTTTATTGTAAATTTGCATTGTATTTTATTATATAAGTCTGCTTAATTGTCCCTAAGGTACCAAATGCATGTTATTTATAGGCATTATATGTGACATTTGCTTCTCGGTCAGCTCTCTTAATAGAAAATAAGAGGAAAAGCCTGACTGTTTCTTAGTTTTAATTTGGTTTTATTGTAAGAGTTTATTTGAAAAATGTACCTAAAAATATTCTTTTATAATATTTATTTCCACAAGTACATGATGCAAATTATAGAAACCTAGCTGACATCGGTATAGAAAGCTCCTTGTTATGCAGTGTATTTTGGGCAAATTAGGTTAATTTTGTTCTCAGGATGCAACCTACACCAGTGGGGTAACACCCAGGTACCTATTTACTGCTAGGTGAACAGGGACAGCAGGTGCCTTAAGGAAACATGCCCTAATGTTTCCACCCATACTGAGGATTGAACCACATACCTCATTGTATGAGATGAGTGCACTAGCAACACTAGTAACCTGACCATCAGGCAAGGTGATTGATAGTGATGATTGCCACTTGAAATTTGACCTTTGAACTTGGCATAGCAACACTGATTACGATAAGTCTCCCAACTGTTATGTTTTTACTTCATGTTTGACTAATGTGACAACTAGTCAGACGTGTGATCACCAAGGACAGTGTGATCACTAAGGACTGGATGCGAATTTTGCTCCTAACAGGTAGATTCCCTTGTTCTAATTCTGTTATTTTTTATTTTCAACAAAAGTTTCTTGTTCCTAAACAGTTTAAAAGTTTAGGAATAAAATTTTAATTCCAAAGTGCATAAGCTTGAACTTTGCACAAGAGTTTGTCTCAGTGTTTTATTTCATTGTCTAGTTGGGATATATTTTATACAGGAGGGCCCCGCTTCACAGCCCTTTGCTTTACAGCGTTTCGCTAATGCAGAGGTTTTCAGTTACACCCATTCCTTTGTTTATTCAGGCTTCTACAATAAATATATTCACTAAAAGGTAAAGATGAAAATATTTTAAGGTAAGTAATGTGTGTACTGTATATGCAGTTTTTAGGCCTAGCTCCACTGCTCATTTAATATATGATAGTGTAAACATGTTATCAGGCTTTTATATGCATTTGAAAGTGAAAAAAGGGCTCTGTTTCAATTTAGAGCGGTAGCCCAGAATCTAACCTGTTGTATAAGTGGGGCCCTGCTGTACAAAAAAAAAAATTAATGTTAGGCAACATTTTTCTCAGTCATATGGTACTTTCTATCATGGTATCTATTTAATAAAAGCAAAATGATACACATTGCAGTTGTAGGATATTTATCTCACAATCAAAAGTACCCCAAGTGAAGCAGAATGTCCTTTGGACAAATCTGACACTTGCTGCCTAGGAGTTAGTTTACAGTTGTGGGTTGCAACTTGGAGATATTAATTGGGGGCAGGGGGGAGAGCAGGTGGCTAGTAATGGTGATTGTGACTGATAAAGATGAGATTGTTTTGGCATGATAGTAACAATAATAGGTGATTCTATAGCCAATAAACTTTTTCGGCTATCTCTGAATCGATTGACCCAGCAAATTTTTTCCCATATTTCAGACGTCCATTAACCTTTGACTGTCGCTGGCAGTATATATACGTCTTACAAGGTACCGTGTTTGACGTATATGTACTCATAAATTCTAGCGGCTTCAAATCAAGCAGGAGAAAGCTGGTAGGCCCACATGTGAGAGAATGGGTCTGTGTGGTCAGTGTGCACCATATAAAAAAAATCCTGGAGCACGCAGTGCATAATGAGAAAAAAAAAACACTGACCGTTTTTTTTAATTAAAATGCCGTGGTCTATTTTCGTATAGTATTTATGGTTGTATTCTCGTTTTCTTGGTCTCATTTGATAGAATGGAAAACATATTATAGAAATAGAGGTGATTTTGATTGATTTTACTATAAAAAGAACCTGGAAATGGAGCTCAAAGTAGGGGAAATGTTTGATTTTTGCCAATGTTCAAAAGTAAACAAATTATGTCATTGTCCAATAAATGTCCAACTAGCCATTCTAATATGCAGTCATGAATGGGTTGATGTTATTTATACAATTATTACAGTATTGCAGTAGTCTGCATAATAGTAAGTCTTCTATTTTTTGTTTGAATAAAAATTCAGAATGGAAAGCAAGAGTAATATCAGAGGGGCCTGGAGACGTGACTAATGAACAAAGAAAATGTTATTTTAGAGCCAGGAATGTCTGCATTGTTCATTCTGGACCTTGTTTTGAAATTGTCATATTTTTTAGTTTTCGTGAAATTGGCCAAATTGCAAATTTCTGACCACATTATTAGGTAGTTGAAATCGGTAAATGGGCAGTTTCTTGTACTCAATCGATAGAAAAAATGGAGTTCTAAAGAAATAGCTATGAGTTTGGGCGACTGGAACAATGGAATTAGCCGAAAATAGGGCTCAAAGTGGGCGAAATCGCCGATTTGTAAACAGCGCCAAGGTCGCTAAATTCGCGAGGGCATAATTCCGTTAGTTTTCCATCAAATTTCGTTTTTTTGGTGTCATTACAATCGGTAAAAGATTCTCTATCATTTCATAGAATTTTTTTTTTTTTTTTTTTTAAATTTTACACACCAGGAGACACCTCAGAATTGGGGGTTGCGACAGTCAAAGGGTTAAATTGGAGGTTTAAGCCACACTACTTGGCTTTCTTGGGTTATTAATCCAAATAATTACCATCATCAGGCATCTTACAAAAAAAAGTAGTATAGATGCCCAAATGATAGTTTTAAACTTAGTCCTTGGTGTTCTGGGATTTTGTTTTGTTAGATTTTACCTTTATGGCTGATAGGCTCTCGTTGAGATTATTATTTCCGCAACTGAAAAAAGTTCATTAATTTCTTATTTTTTTATGTTTTATACTATACCAAGTTTTGAGTGTTTTCTGGGTCTCTGGATACTGTAAACTATACATACTGTATTCATCTATTTATCCAGGGAAGAGCAGCTTTAATACAGTACAAAAAAAAAATTTCAAATAGGCATGTGAAAATCATACTTTTCTTTTTTAATAGAGTTGTTGAAAAGGTTTAAAGCTTCTCAGTACTAGCAGTTATAATAATACCTTCATGATGATGAGGATGACCTTTTTTGAATTATTAAATGGAGAGTTAGAGGTATCGGGAAGATGGACGGAATATTTTGAGGAATTGTTAAATGTTGATGAAGATAGGGAAGCTGTGATTTTGTGTATAGGACAAGGAGGAATAACATCTTGTAGGAGTGAGGAAGAGCCAGTTGTGAGTGTGGGGGAAGATCATGAGGCAGTAGGTAGAATGAAAGGGGGTAAGGCAGCTGGGATTGATGGGATAGAGATAGAAATGTTAAAAGTAGGTGGGGATATAGTTTTGGAGTGGTTGGTGCTATTATTTAATAAATATATGGAAGAGGGTAAGGTACCTAGGGACTGGCAGAGAGCATGCATAGTTCCTTTGTATAAAGGCAAAGGGGACAAAAGAGAGTGCAAAAATTATAAGGAAATAAGTCTGTTGAATATAAATGGTAAAGTATATGGTAGAGTTGTTATTGAAAGAATAAAGAGTAAGACAGAGGTAGGATAGCAGATGAACAAGGAGGCTTTAGGAAGGGTTGAGTGTGTGTCGACCAAGTGTTTACAGTGAAACATATAGATGCACAGTATTTAGATAAGGGTAAAGAGATTTTTCTGTCATTTATGGATTTGGAAAAGACTTTTGATAAGGTGGATAGGGGGGCAATGTGGCAGATGTTGCAAATGTATGGAATAGGAGGTAGGTTATTGAAAGCAGTGAAAAGCTTTTACAAGGATAGTGAGGCTCGGGTAAGAGTATGTTGGAGAGAAGGAGATTATTTCCCGGTAAAAGTAGGTCTTAGACAAAGATGTGTGATGTCACCATGGTTGTTCAATATATTTATAGATGGGGTTGTAAGAGAAGTGAATGCTCGGGGTTGTAAGAGAAGTGAATGCTCGGGTGTTGGCAAGAGGTGTGGGGTTAAAAGATAAAGAATCTAACACAAAGTGGGAGTCATCACAGTCGCTCTTTGCTGATGACACTGTGCTTTTGGGAGATTCTGAAGAGAAGTTGCAGAGGTTGGTGGATGAGTTTGGTAGGGTATGTAAAAGAAGAAAATTAAAAGTGAAAGAGTATGATGATGAGGATAAAAAAAAATTAGGTAATGAAAGATGGATATCAGATTGGAAGGAGAGAGTATGGAGGTGAATGTATTCAGATATTTAAGAGTGGATGTGTCAGCAGATGGATCTATGAAAGATGAGGTGAATCGTACATTTGACGAGGGAAAAAAAGTGAGTGGTGCATTGAAGAGTCTGTACAGACAAAGAACTTTGTCCATGGAAGCAAAGAGGGGGGTATAATGTGTGAGAGTATAGTTATACCAACGCTCTTATATGGGTGTGAAGCATGGGTGGGTAATGTTGCAACAAGGAGAAGGCTGGAGGCAGTGGAGATGTCGTGTCTGAGGGCAACGTGTGGTGTGAATATTATGCAGAGAATTCGTAGTTTGGAAATTAGGAGGTGCAGGATTACCAAAACTATTATCCAGAGGGCCGAGGAAGGGTTGTTGAGGTGGTTCGGACATGTAGAGAGAATGGATCAAAATAGAATGACTTCAAGAGTGTATAAATCTGTAGTGGAGGGAAGGCTGGGTAGAGGTTGGCCTAGGAAAGGTTGGAGGGAAGGGGTAAGGAGGTTTTGTGTGCGAGGAGTCTGGACTTCCAGTAAGCATGCATGAGCGTGTTAGATACGAGGAAATGGAAACAAATGGTTTTTAAGGACTTGATGTGCTGTTGGAGTGTGAGCAGGGTAATATTTATGAAGGGATTCAGGGAAACTGGCAGGCCAGACTTGAGTCCTGGAGATGGGAAGTACAGTGCCTGTACTCTGAAGGAGCGGGTGTTAATGTTGCAGTTTTATAATTGTAATGTAAGTGCGCCTCTGGCAAGATAGTGGTGAAGTGAATGATGGTGAAAGTTTTTCTTTTTTGGGCCACCCTGCCTTGGTGGGAAATGGCCACTGTGTTAATAAATAAAAAAGATAACCCTGAAGGATAGTAATCCCAGGATAACCAAATAAATCAGTGTGGGATATTTCTATTAGGGTCCTTAAAACTTGTATTACCAGTACAGTAATTTGTTTTTTTCAGAGTGAAGATGGCATTGTTTTCCCTCCCAGTCATAGGGCTGGTGATATTGATCGGTCTTTCCATCAAGATCTTCAAATCGTTTGCAGCCAAAACTTCAGGACCTAATCCATTTAAGAAAAACTCTTGCACGGAAGTTAAAGCCAAAATCACAGATCAAAAACAACGAGATGCTGTCCTGAAACAGGGTTTGTATCGTCGTTGTATAGGGTGTCCCACAGAGTACGTATTTCATTAGAGTACTTTTACTGTGCTTTTTCAAAATACAGGGTACCATATAGTTAGAAAATGTACTGTACTACCAGCATACTAAACGTTTTTCTATTAGTATGGGAAATTATGTATGATTTTGTATTAAATAAATTCTCGTAATTCATTTTATTTGGCACTTCTTTCACAGTGTGTTTTTTTATTATACAGATCTTAGCTGACTTCTTCGTATGATATTTTAGGTTTGGTTAATGTGAATAAACCAAAGTTAATTAATTATAACAAAGTTACAAAAACCAAAAGGCATAAGCAAGGAGTTTGTTCTTTCTCTCTGTTTGACCTGCACTCCAGTATGGTAAACTTGTCAAAGATAATTTTTGTTGCAGTGTTGTAGCTGCTCAAACTGGTCATTAGTATCTAGCCAGGCACACTAGTTCTTTGTATTCTGATTGGCACAGCTTATGTTTTCATCCATTGATGAAACATTGGACAATAACTTTCCTGACTTATTTTTTTTTTATTAACACACTGGCCGATTCCCACCAAGGCAGGGTGGCTCGAAAAAGAAAAACTTTCACCATCATTCACTCCATCACTGTCTTGCCAGAAGGGTGCTTTACACTACAGTTTTTAAACTGCAACATTAACACCCCTCCTTCAGAGTGCAGGCACTGTACTTCCCATCTCCAGGACTCAAGTCCTGACTTATTCATATGCTTAAATAGTGAATTTCCATTTAAACCAATTCTTTGAGCAATATGTTTGAGTTGATCCATCAGGTTAAGCACCATTGACTCTGGCTAATAACTGAATAAGTGACCATAGAAACATTGGCCTCTTGGCTAGACTGTGTCATGCCCAGATATTCTTGGCCAAGACTGGACACTATATATACACTTGTATCCTCCTCCTCCACAAGAAGCCTACATTACTGATATATATACACATATATATATTCACATACATGCATACATATGTATACATATGTATACATACATACATACAGTACCAGTAATTGTGTAACATCATCTGATATCCCTCTGCATTATTAATTTATTTTTCTGTATGGTTCTGTGTTTTGAAGTGAATGACTTAAATACTGTTTCCTGTTTACCTTAGGACCTTCATAAAAAAAAAAAGCTTGTAGTTTATTAAGATGTAATAACATAATGTCAAATTTTCAGGTTTCAACAAGGAGAAAGTTCCTCAGGACTTGGATGCCATTGTTGTAGGAAGTGGGATTGGAGGATTGTCTGTAGCTGCTATTTTGGCAAAGGCAGGCAAGAAAGTCTTGGTGCTGGAGCAGCATGACCAGGTAAGACTTTGATAGATAAGCTCTAAGTGCCATTATCTTTACTTTTATTCTAGTTGAACATGTTACCTGTTTATGATTACCTTTATGTAGTTACAGGTGCAGATATATGATTTTGGTGTCCTGTCTTTTTTGTTTTATGTAATATTTCTCATCAGAAAAGCATATAGATGGAAAGAGGGAGTTACATTAGATAGAAACTCTCAGTGGGAGTAATAGAAAATTTTGAGAGGGGAGAGAGAGATTTAAATACAGTGGAACCCCGGATTTTGTACTTAATCCGCTCCAGAAGATCCATCTAAATCCGAAACGTACAAAAACCAAAGTAATATTTCCCATAAGAAATAATGTAAATACAATTAATCCATTCCAGACACCCAAAAATGTTAATAAAAAATATATTTTTTAAAGAATAACTATAGTTTTACATACAGAAAACAATAAGAAATAATATAAAGCACTAATGAAATGGATAAATGAATATTTAAATCACTATTACATACCTTTATTGAAGATTCTTGTTGGTGTATGGAAGAAAGAGAGGGAGAGGGAGGAGAGGTTATATCTACCACCATCACTACCACCCTCTACCACCATCACTATGACCCTCTACCACCATCACTGTGACCCTCTACCACCATCACTACCACCCTCTGTCACCATCACTACGATGGTGGCTTATTTCACAGTTGCACTCAATAGTTAAGCGAAGTAATGCTCACTTGACCAGTGACAGAGCCAGACTGAGACACGTATGCATGAGTGGTGGCGTCCTAGGCAGGCAGACGCATCTGATACATACGATTTCCGGGTGGAGGTACGAAATCCGAATCAAAATTTTACCCAAAAAAAAAAGTGTTCTAAATCCTAATTGTACAATATTCGGACCGTACAAAAACTGGAGTTCCACTGCAATTAGATACACCTGCTGTGTGCAGCCACCTTATTTAATATGAAACAGAAAGAGAGAGGGAATGGCAAGATTGTCTGCATCATGTAAGCAATCCTTTGAGGAAGAGCTGTTGGCTGGAAATGTGTAGATTGTTCTCTTATGGGCTGGTCTGTGATGCATCACAATATGAAGTTTAACACGGGCAACCCATTCCAAGAGGACAAAGACCATATATCCTTAAATATGGCTCTAATGACATTAATGCATTAATATAAATTTTCATAAAAAGGTGAACATTAGCAAAAAGTCAACAGATGTGGAAAATCAATTTAAGTCATTTATTGGGGTGCAGTAGGAAATTTAAGGCAGGTTTTGGCAGATTATGCCCCCTTAGTTCAACGAAGTATTGAGCAGAGAGGTAGCATACAGTTTGGTATACCTTTATATGGAAATCATTAAAATGAAGTTGCTTGGTCATTGCTTACCATAGAGAATTTGTATTATTTCTCCAGTGTGTAAACGTGAATTACAGTGGACCCTCGACTAATGGCTTTAATCCGTTCCAGAGAGCTAGCCTTTAGTCGAATTAGCCGTTAGTCAAATTAATTTTCCCCATAAGAAATAATGGAAATCCAATGAATCTGTTCCAGACAGCCAAAAGTATTAAAAAAAAAAAATTTTTCTACATGAAATATACATTTCCTTACACAGAAAAACAATAAGACATGCCTAATACATACATAGATAAATACTAAAATGACACTTACCTTTATTGAAGAGTATTGTTGAGTGATGAGACACTGTTTTTCTTGAACACACTGGGATTTTCAGAGTGATACATGAGTAAAGGCTTCACTTTGCAATCCCCACTAGCATTACAACAAAACATGAGAGTTAGCCTGTCTTTCATAGGCTTGTGTCCTGGGAGTGCCTTTTCCTCCTGAGTAATGAGCAATGTAGGTCCTGTTTGGCATTTTCTTCCAGAACAGGCCTGTGTCGTCACAATTAAACACTTGTTGAGGTTGGAATTTTTCAGCTTGCCATGCCTTATCACACTGTGTATGCCACTATGATTCTTAAATCTCTCAAACCAAACTTTGCTGGCCTTAAATTCACCAATATGAGCACTAGTTCCAGGCGTTTTTTCCTGTTCACCTGGGTGTTAGTCGACTGGTGTGGGTCACATCCTGGGGGACAAGATTAAGGACCCCAATAGAAATAAGTTAGACAGTCCTCGATGACGCACTGACTTTCTTGGGTTATCCTGGGTGGCTAACCCTCTCAGGTTAATTGTTTCTCGGTATTCTCGATCAGCCACACCAACAACAGTCTCTCCACATCTTCAAGTAGTACAGCTGACCGTGGCGCAGCAGCAGCTGATGGTGGTGCAGCAGCAGCTGACCATGGTACGATAGTATTTCTCACCCGTTTTACCACAGGGTTAGCACTAGAAGCTTTCTTGGGGCCCTTGGTGGCTTATTTAGCAGTTACAAGTACTAAAAACACTGGAACAATACAAAATATATCACAGGTACACGTGGAATCGACCAAAACAGCTTGTAAACATTGGCACACTAAGTCTTGGAGTGGCTGGGCCCACTCAGGCCGCGCTCCGGCTGCATGGACACTTTGGGGATGAAAGTCGTTAGATGAGTTTTTTGCCGTTGGTAGAGCCAATATTTTTACTCCAAAGAGCGCCGTTAGACAAATTTGACGTTGGTCGATCCTGCCATTGGTCGGGGGTCCACTGTACTGATCAATTTTGCTGAAATTTTCGTGTTATAAACTTATCTTGAATACAAAAAATTGAATGCTGTAATTACACTGAAGGTCTTTGAAGTACTTTATTACATTTATTCTTAACTAAATGTGCAGTTAGTCAGCTGAAATTGAAATACACCAATGCCATAAACTGTTTTCATCTTCTGCATTAGGCTGGCGGCTGCTGTCACACATTTATAGACAAAGGATATGAGTTTGATGTCGGCATTCATTACATTGGTGAGATGAACTATGAGTCAATAAGTAAGACTTACCTTAACCAGATCACAAATGGTCAACTAGAATGGGCACCAATGCGTAAGTTGCTGTTTACAATATTTTTTAATTGTTTTAGATATTTCTGAAGGGGCACAGTATCTTTAAAGTATTGATGTAATTCCTCTTCCAGTCAGCTTTAGATTTTTAATACTGGTGTACTGTTAACTAGAGGAAGGGTGTAGGCACCCCAGGAGTATATGTGGAGGAGGTTTCGGAGGTCAACACTTCCTGCTGCCCGGTCCGTGACCAGGCTTCGTGGTAGATCATCGCCTGATCAACCAGGTGATGATCTACTTAAAAAATTGTTACTGCTGGCCGCAGTAACAGTTTTTTTTTTTTTAACAAACCGGCCATATCCCACCAGAGCAGGGTGACCTAAAAAGAAAAACGAAAGAGGTTACTAGCCCTTTGCTCTCTGGCCAATTTTATCAAGACCATTCCTGATTTGTATTTTTCTGCAATACCTTGAGAAAGCCTCTTTTGCTTGGCTTCAGAAAATTAACATTGGTGTATCGTACTTATAAGAAGGTTGGCAGTATTATTGGAATCTGTAGGTCCTAATTAGTTTATTTTATTTTTAAAATGTTTTGATATTTTTTTCAGTAAAGTAATTTGAGGTCATTATGCCTTTTCTGAATGAACTGAGTCATTAACAGCTGATGCATCTTGTGACATGGATGATACATTTCATGTTCAGGTTGTGTAGGTGTGACTATGCTTAAATTTGGAAGTGTTGAATTTCATGCAATAACTGGAAAATTCCTCGTCTGGTCGGCTAGAAACCTTGAGTGCCATTTTTTTTCTTTCAAAGGAAACTTTTTATTGATTTTAGATTGTGTGAGCTCTTAAATGCCAATTTTACTTTAAAAGAGTTTTTGGGTTATCTTGGGTAATTTATACATATGTTGCTATGTACAGCAACCACAGGGGAAGTTGAATGGTAGCTCTAGGCATTTCATGTTGCAATCAGTACAACAGGAGCTTGCAATCTCTTGATGTGTTGATTGCAATATGAAAGACCTAGAGCTATCTTTCAACTAACCCTGTGGTTGTTTGGCATGTTGTATCACTTGTTTGCAGTTATTTCATATGTTACTGTGTATGATAATTTTTGTAACTGTATTTATGTATACCTGTACCTCGATAGTTACTTACTCATATGATTGGTATAACATTCAACAGGTGATGACTTTGATGAAGTGGTGTTTGCTGAAAAAGGTCAGGAGCCACGCAGGTATCCAGTGTTCTCTGGAGAAGACAGATGGAAGGAGTCTCTCAAGAAAAGGTTCCCAGCAGAAGCAGAAAATATTGAGAGGTAATAAATAAGATTTGCATTATCATTGACTTTCCTTATGTTATAGAAAAATTAATTTTTAGCATATTAAAATTATTGCTCTTTTAGGCTAAATTTCTTGTCTCAAGCTTTTTTTTTTTTTTTTCAGATTCTTCAAGCTAATAAAAGAGGTTTACCCAGGCAGTTCAAAAGCATTGTTAGTGAAATTTATCCCACTGTGGGCTGTGCGGCTGTTGAAAGCTACAGGGCTTATTAAATATTTTACCAATTTCTTCGAGTGGAATGCCAAGTCATGCAAGGAAGTTGTCTGGGTATGTAGGCACACCATTTGGTGGCAGTGTATTGTAAGGAGATGAAGAAACAGTAATGAGCATCTTAAGAGGTTCTTCAAGCATTTTAGGAAATTCTGAATTTTCCATTAAAATTAGGATATACAGGAGGGCCCGTTTGTATAGCTCTTGAGTTACCAATTCCCATACAATAAGCGATAATCACTGGTGAGTGGAAAAGAGCATTTTTTTATTATCAAATAAATATAAAATGCCTGATAATGTGTGTACACTATCATATGTTAAGTGCTTAATATAGCTAGGCATAAAAAATGATAAAGTAAAATAATAAACATTGCATGCAATACTTGCCTGAAAATATGGTACCTGTTGCCCTTTCCTTACACACCTGTTGTATGAAAATGGCAGAAAAGAGGTAAAAGCACCAAAATGAACATTGAATTGAAATCCAATGAAAATGTGGAACACTGAAAAGAGGGTGCTGTATATGCTGGGCCCTCTTTTACTGCATTAATTTAGAGTGCAAGAAAGCATAAACCTACTGGTGACATGCTATCGACACTAATAAAGAGAAGAAACTGCGGAAAAAGCTTATTTGGGACAACGTTTCATTGTGTCAGTTTTCATCATATTAGATGGAAGATATGAAATACACACACACACATTCCTAGGGAAGGGAGATGAGAAGGATGAAGTATGGGTGATATCTCTGGAGTGACAAATCTTGGGTAATTGGAGTTATGCAACAGGAACACTGTCACCTGGTTTCTGGTCAGTACATTTACATTAATCCTGTGAAACCCTGTTGCCAGGACTCTCCCAGTAGTATGTGAGCCAGTGATTTAGTTAAGCTAAATGCACCTGGGTTGTATTCAGTGGTGTTATCCACACAAATTAAAGTGACTTCAAGGCAGTATCTTGTCATTTTATCCCTCTCTCTGATGAGTTTGGTGTCTTGCTGTGCCATAAGATGTGAATGTATATCCTGATGATCTGCACATGCAGGTGAATCAGTATTCCTGAACTCTGAAGTATATATGAGTGTGTTTTAGCATGATGAAGATCTGCACAGACCAAAAAATTGTCCCAGTAAAATGCTGTTTTCCTCGGTGTTATTATTATTACATCCATGGGAAAGTGCTAAACTCATATGGGTCATAGAATGTCTTGGGAATGAAAGACAATCTAGCTTGATCTCAGGAAGAGGATGGCAACTTCAGTTCCTTGTAAGAGCCCATCACCAGCATCTGGACATACTTTTAAGAATCAACATTAAGAAAAGTTGCACTAGTTTGATATTTTCCATGGTAGTGTCTTTATGGATGACTAAGGCTTTCTTAATCTATTATTTAGAATTCTTGCATGGTATATTATTTATACACTTAGTTTATTTTTTAAACACGATGGCCATCTCACATCAAGGCAGGATGACTCAAAAAAGAAACGATTTCACCAGCAATCACATTTATCACATAGAATTGTCTTCATATATTCAAGACTGCATATAAAATTTATCTAAAGATCCAATACTGCATGTTCATTGTTCTGTTACCCATGGAATCACCTTAATTTTTTTCCCATTATACAATCCTTGGTTTTGAAAAGTGTTATTTTTTCAAGAATAATTTGTTTTAACAATTTTAAGATTTCAGTAAATCATCCAGGAGACATGTACAAAGTAATGGTAGAATCATAGTTGTTTGAGTTTGACTGTCATTATTTTCAGGGGAAAAGGCTAAGCCCATAAAGGAATGCAAGACAATTAAATTTGGTCCGAGGAAGGAGAAGGTAGCTCCAACTCCTTGATCAAGAATCCTTCACTGGTATCAATGCTGACTCCCTCACTGAAGGATACTCCAGTTTGAGATTTCTTGCAAACACATGGCTCTCAGTTTTGCATTCCTTTTTGTCACTGAAACCTATAATTTTACCTTTAGTAAAAAGATACTTAAGTATGACATTTTGCTTACATAAGGCTTTATCACATAAATGAGTCATAGTAACTGATGAAGACTTATGTAGGTGAAATTTCATGCTAATAAAAGTCTCCTTTTGCTGCATGTGTCTTTTTAACACTTCTATGCCACATTTCAATAATTTTACCTCTACTGTGAAGGGGCTGACAAAGAACCAGGAGTTGCGTGATATCTTCTGCTATTCTTTCTATGACTTTGGTACACCGCCTAGTCAAGCAGGTTTCCCAATGCAGACATTACTGCACGGCCATTTTTCACAGGGTAATATTTTTCTTGTTTTGTGAATTAATTCATTACACTTTTTTTTTTGTAAAAATATTTTTAATTGTAATTTATTTTTTTTTTTGTAAATTCTTAAAACTGATAAATCAGAGTTTAAATAATATAAATTAGTTTCTATAGGATTTTATAATTTGTAAAGAGTTATGCATTATTTGTTTTTTATATTGCTAAGAATAGGAAAATGTTTTAGAGTAAGATTAATAGTTTGAGAAAACCTAGGAAATATTTTGAGGAGCTGTTAAATGTTGATGAGGAAAGGGAAGTAGTGATTTCATGCATTGGCCAGGGAGGTATAACATCCTTTAGGAGTGAGGAAGAGCCAAATATGGGGGTGGTGAAGGTGTTGATGGAGGAAATGAATGTATTCAGATATTTAGGGGTATACTTGTTGGCAGATGAGTTTGTGAAAGACGAAGTGAACTTTAGAATTGATGATGTGGAAAAAAGGTGGGCAATGCATTGAGGAATTTGTGGAGACAAAGAATGTTATCCATGGAGGCAAAAAAGGGAATGTATGAGAGTATCATCAATTCTATGGTTTACCTTGTCCTTCATATACCCATCCCTCAACAAGTCCACTCTCAAATATCTGAACATATTCACTTCTTCCATACTCCCTCTCTCCAATCTGATATCCAGTTTTTCCTTATCTATTTCATTTGATATCCTCATCACTTTAATCTATGTTAACATTTAACTTCCTTAAGCATTATTATTATCATTATCGAGAAGCACTGAATGCACGAAGGTCATATAATGCTTTGGAAATGGGAGGGGTGGGGTAATCAGCTTTGATTCAAGGAAGGGCAGCTCCACATCCTGTAATCAGGAGCCCTTCAGCATCATAATGCTCATTTGCAAAGATTAGTAATTTTAATTATTAAAATTTGTGCATGTAGGTTCAGATAACATGCTCTTAAGAGACATCACAGACACAGAGATTACTCTCTGATGTCTTGATGCTCAGTAAGTTAGTCTGTAAATCTTTTCTGTGAGCACAGTTTTAGAAGAGTTTTTGCATCAGACTGACAGAAAAGACTAGTGTCATGCAGTCTTGTAATTCATTCAGGTTTGTTGTCCATTGTTTTGATACAGTAATAACAGGATGTGTCTGGAAAAAAGTCACAGAAAATAAATCACAATTTTCACTAGGAAGAAAAGGCACTAGAGAAAAAGGCACATTGTACTTCTTTAGGTTGTAACTTTTTTCCTGTCACTTTTTTTCTGTCACTTTTTTTTCTGTGACTTTTTTCTGTGACTTTTTTCTGTGATTTTTTTCCTGTGATTTTTTTTTCTGTGACATTTTTCTGTGACTTATTGTGACTTTTTTTCTTGTTCCTAAAAGGATAATGCACAATTCAGATGTTCCATTATATAGCTATCATTTCAATAGCTGCTCTTGGTTTCTAACTTGGCTTGAGTTAATTATAGTATAACAGTAATCATACCTACCAGCTTTAACAATATTCCAACTGATTGTTTAAAAATCTCATCAAATTGGGAAAAATACCTTTATTTTAAGGTATAATAATGATGATAATAATAACAGAACCCATGGATGAGTTCCTTTCAGAAATGACTTCATTTTGGCAAGTGGCTTACACTGTAATTGTGAAGTGATTGATCCCCGATTTAATTGCATTTTTAAGACTTCTCAATTTGTTTTTCGATTGCTAACGCACTCAGCTCACACACTGAGGTCCAGGGATCGATCCCTCAGTACAGCTGGAAAATGTTAGGGCGTGTTTCCATAATACACCTGCTGCCCCTGCTCACCTATTAGTAAAATGGGTACCTGGGTGTTAGTCAGCTCGTGTGGGTCACATCCTGGGACAAAATTTACCTAATTTGCCTAAATTCCTCTGCATAACAAGGGACTTTCTATATAGTAGTATGTCATTGATTTCAACTAGGCCTGTATACCTTGTACATGTTTTTTTTTTTTTTTTTAACAAGTCGGCCGTCTCCCACTGAGGCAGGGTGACCCAAAAAGAGAGAAAATCCCCAAAAAGAAAATACTTTCAACATCATTCAACACTTTCACCTCACTCACACATAATCACTGTTTTTGCAGAGGTGCTCAGAACACAACAGTTTAGAAGCATATACGTATAAAGATACACAACATATCCCTCCAAACTGCTAATATCCTGAAACCCCTCCTTTAGAGTGCAGGCATTGTACTTCCCATTTCCAGGACTCAAGTCCGGCTATATAAAAATAACCTGTTTCCCTGAATCCCTTCACTAAATATTACCCTGCTCACACTCCAACAGATCGTCAGGTCCCAAATACCATTCGTCTCCATTCACTCCTATCTAACACACTCATGCACACCTGCTGGAAGTCCAAGCCCCTCGCCCACAAAACCTCCCTTGCCTCTTCCTTCCAACCTTTTCAAGGACGACCCCTACCCTGTCTTCCTTCCCCTACAGATTTAAATGCTCTCTATGTCATTCTACTTTGATCCATTCTCTCTAAATGACCAAACCACCTCAACAACCCCTCTTCAGCCCTCTGACTAATACTTTTATTAACTCCACACCTTCGATTAATTTCCACACTCCGAATTTTCTGCATAATATTTACACCACACATTGCCCTTAGACAGGACATCTCCACTGCCTCCAACCGCCTCTTCACTGCTGCATTCACAACCCAAGCTTCACACCCATAAAAGAGTGTTGGTACTACTATACTTTCATACATTCCCTTCTTTGCCTCCATAAATAACGTTTTTTTCTCCACATATACCTCAACACACCACTCACCTTTTTTCCCTCATCAATTCTATGATTAACTTCATCCTTCATAAATCCATCCGCTGACATGTCAGCTCCCAAGTATCTGAAAACATTCATTTCTTCCATACTCCTCCTCCCCAATTTGATATCCAATTTTTCTTTATCTTAATCATTTGATACCCTCATCACCTTACACTTGTCTATGTTCACTTTCAACTTCCTGCCTCTACACACATGTACTTGTACATGTACTTGTAGAAATAAGATTTTATTTTTTCAACAAACTGGCCATATCCCACCAAGGCAGGGTGACCTAAAAGGAAAATAGAAGTTCATCTTTTTAAATTTAGTAAGGTATACAGGAAAATGGGTTACTAGCCCCTTGCTCCCAGCATTTTAGTCGCCTCTTACGATATTTATGGCTTACAGAGGAAGAATTCTATTCCACTTCCCCACTGAGAAAAGATATTATTATTGAGACTGGTACCAGTTATGTGGGAAACTTTCCCAACTCACTTTTTTTTTTTCTACTTGCAGGGAGTTCATATCCAGTTGGAGGAGCATCAGAAATTGCCTTCCATATTATTCCAGTGATTGAAGATGCTGGTGGTAAGGTTTTCGTTCGTGCTGAGGTAAGTAATTATCTCTCACGTGTAACTATGTATTTGTGTTTAAATATGTATGTTGTATATACAGTGGAACCCCAGATTTTGTCTGGTGTGGATATCATACAATTTGAATTTCAACCACTCTTTGGGGCAAAATTTTGCCCTGAGTTTCGTACCTCTGCTCAGAAATCATCCATACCAGACGCGTCTGCCTGGGCTGCTCATACGTTCATGATACTAATACGTAATAATAATCACTCTTGGGTACATTAAATTCTTATTTTAGGTAAATATAGACATTTTCATTAATCCATTTATGATATTTTCTTCAAAATTACAGTGGAACTCTGAGTTTCGTACTCCCTCAGTATCGTACGCTTCAGGTTTAGACCGCTTTTTTTGGCTCAGTTTTATATTGAGTTTCGTACTGTGCCCTGTCTTTAGTACCGTGTACCAGACCTGTCCACCTGCCCGCACCTGCCTGCTTCCCTCGCACAGGCGTCGTGAGCCAGTCTGGCTTTGTTTATACTTGAGTGAACACTAACCTGCACTCTCATCCAAACATTTCACAATTAATTCATTGTGTTTGGTGCTTGTTTATTAAGTGTGACTGTGAAATAAGCTACCATGGGCCCAAATAAACTTCCTAGTGGCACCCCTGTGGTAAAGAAAGTGAGAAACACCATAGAAGTGAAGGAGGAGGTAGTACAAAAATACAAAAGTGGTGTGCGACTTGTGGACCCTCTGCTTGTTGTGGAAGGTATTGTGGCATTGGGGAAGTCCATGGGGTTGGAGATGAGTGGCGAGAATGTGAAAGAGTTGGTGGATTACCACAAGGAAGAGCTAACTGCTGAAGAGTTGCAAGAGCTTCATCTGAAATAGCATCAGACCAGAACTGAGGAACTTGCTTCAGAAGAGGAGGAAGAGGGAGTGGATAAGGTGCCCTCTTCACAGATTAAGGAAATTTGTGTAATGTGGAATAGGGTACAGGTATTTGCTGAAAAATATCACCCTGACCAAGCTGAAACAAGCCATCTCTGCACCAAGTTCAGTGACAGAACCATGTCCCATTTTAGGGAAATGTTAAATAGGCACCAGAGACAGAGGATTGTGAACGATTATTTTGTGAGACGGGTCCAGTGACTCTCAGGCTGGTCCTAATGGCATTTAAAGACAAAGAAGGAAGTAACCCCAGATAAGGACTTGTTACCTAAAGTCTTTATGGAAGGGGATTTCCCTTCCAAACACTAAGTCCTCTTGCACTTCTCCTCCCTATCTTCCAGATGCCATCAACAGTCTTCAATAAAAGTAAATAAAAATGTTATTTTAAATGTTTATTTTTCTATTACTAATTTAAGTACTATTTATGTTTGTTGTGTGTATGTAAAACTATAATTAATCTTTAAAATATATTTTTTGTTAATATTTTTGGATGTCTGGAACGGATTAATTGGATTTACATTATTTCGTATGGGAAATATTGCTTCGACTTTAGTACATTTTGACTTTTAAGTACAAAACTTAGGTTTTCACTGTATATAAGAAACACATTACATGGCATATAAACATGCCTTTGTTACTCATCCACTAAGAGTGTCCCCTCTAATCTTAATGCTATAGTAATAATACTATTTTTTTTTTTTTCAACAAGTCGGCCGTCTCCCACCGAGGCAGGGTGACCCAAAAAAGAAAGAAAATCCCCAAAAAGAAAATACTTTCATCATCATTCAACACTTTCACCACACTCACACATTATCATTGCTTTTGCAGAGGTGCTCAGAATACAACAGTTTAGAAGCATATACGTATAAAGATACACAACATATCCCTCCAAACTGCCAATATCCCAAACCCCTCCTTAAAGTGCAGGCATTGTACTTCCCATTTCCAGGACTCAAGTCCGACTATATGAAAATAACCGGTTTCCCTGAATCCCTTCACTAAATATCACCCTGCTCACACTCCAACAGATCGTCAGGTCCCAAGTATCATTCGTCTCCATTCACTCCTATCTAACACGCTCATGCACGCTTGCTGGAAGTCCAAGCCCCTCGCCCACAAAACCTCCTTTACCCCCTCTTTCCAACCCTTTCGAGGACGACCCCTACCCCTCCTTCCTTCCCCTATAGATTTATATGCTTTCTATGTCATTCTACTTTGATCCATTCTCTCTAAATGACCAAACCACCTCAACAACCCCTCTTCTGCCCTCTGACTAATGCTTTTATTAACTCCACACCTTCTCCTAATTTCCACACTCCGAATTTTCTGCATAATATTTACACCACACATTGCCCTTAGACAGGACATCTCCACTGCCTCCAACCGTTTCCTCGCTGCTGCATTTACCACCCAAGCTTCACATCCATATAAGAGTGTTGGTACTACTATACTTTCATACATTCCCTTCTTTGCCTCCATAGATAACGTTTTTTGACTCCACATATACCTCAACGCACCACTCACCTTTTTTTCCTCATCAATTCTTTGATTAACCTCATCCTTCATAAATCCATCCGCTGACACGTCAACTCCCAAGTATCTGAAAACATTCACTTCTTCCATACTCCTCCTCCCCAATTTGATATCCAATTTTTCTTTATCTAAATCATTTGATACCCTCATCACCTTACTCTTTTCTATGTTCACTTTCAACTTTCTACCTTTACACACCTTCTCAAACTCATCCACTAACCTTTGCAATTTTTCTTTAGAATCTCCCATAAGCACAGTATCATCAGCAAAAAGTAACTGTGTCAATTCCCATTTTGAATTTGATTCCCCATAATTTAATCCCCCCCTCTCCTGAACACCCTAGCATTTACTTCTTTTACAACCCCATCTATAAATATATTAAACAACCATGGTGACATTACACATCCCTGTCTAAGACCTACTTTTACCGGGAAGTATTCTCCCTCTCTTCTACACACCCTAACCTGAGCCTCACTATCCTCATAAAAGCTCTTTACAGCATTTAGTAACTTACCACCTATTCCATATACTTGCAACATCTGCCACATTGCTCCTCTATCCACTCTATCATATGCCTTTTCTAAATCCATAAATGCAATAAAAACTTCCCTACCTTTATCTAAATACATGTACTGTTCACATATATGCTTCAATGTAAACACTTGATCTACACATCCCCTACCCACTCTGAAGCCTCCCTGCTCATCCGCAATCCTACATTCTGTCTTACCTCTAATTCTTTCAGTTATAACCCTACCGTATACTTTTCCTGGTATACTCAGTAAACTTATTCCTCTATAATTTTTACAATCTCTTTTGTCCCCTTTCCCTTTATATAAAGGGACTATACATGCTCTCCGCCAATCCCTAGGTACCTTCCCCTCTTTCATACATTTATTAAACAAAAGTACCAACCACTCCAACACTATATCCCCCCCTGCTTTTAACATTTCTGTCATGATCTCATCAGTTCCAGCTGCTTTACCCCCTTTCATTCTACGTAATGCCTCACGTACCTCCCCCACACTTCCATTCTGCTCTTCTTCACTCCTAAAAGATGGTATACCTCCCTGGCCAGTGCATGAAATTACCCCCTCCCTTTCTTCCTCAACATTTAAAAGTTCCTCAAAATATTCTCGCCATCTGCCTAATACCTCCCTCTCCCCATCTACTAACTCCCCTACTCTGTTTTTAACTGACAAATCCATACTTTCCCTAGGCTTTCTTAACTTGTTTAACTCACTCCAAAATTTTTTCTTATTTTCATTAAAATTTCTTGACAGTGCCTCTCCCACTCTTTCATCTGCTCTCTTTTTGCACTCTCTCACCACTCTCTTCACCTTTTACTCTCCATATACTCTGCTCTTCTTTTAACACTTCTGCTTTGTAAAAACCTCTCGTAAGCTACCTTTTTCTCTTATCACACCCTTTACTTCATCATTCCACCAATCACTCCTCTTTCCTCCTGCCCCCACCCTCCTATAACCACAAACTTCTGCCCCACATTCTAATACTGCATTTTTAAAACTATTCCAACCCTCTTCAACCCCCCCCCCCACTACTCATCTTTGCACTAGCCCACCTTTCTGCCAATAGTCGCTTATATCTCGCCCGAACTTCCTCCTCCCTTAGTTTATACACTTTCACCTCCCTCTTACTTGTTGTTGCCACCTTCCTCTTTTCCCATCTACCTCTTACTCTAACTGTAGCTACAACTAAATAATGATCCGATATATCAGTTGCCCCTCTATAAGCATGTACATCCTGGAGCCTACCCATCAACCTTTTATCCACCAATACATAATCTAACAAACTACTTTCATTACGTGCTACATCATACCTTGTATATTTATTTATCCTCTTTTTCATAAAATATGTATTACTTATTACCAAATTTCTTTCTACACATAGCTCAATTAAAGGCTCCCCATTTACATTTACCCCTGGCACCCCAGATTTACCTACTACTCCCTCCATAACATTTTTACCCACTTTAGCATTGAAATCCCCAACCACCATTACTCTCACACTTGATTCAAAACTCCCCACGCATTCACTCAACATTTCCCAGAATCTCTCTCTCTCCTCTACACTTCTCTCTTCTCCAGGTGCATACACGCTTACTATAACCCACTTCTCACATCCAATCTTTATTTTACTCCACATAATCCTTGAATTTATACATTTGTAGTCCCTCTTTTCCTGCCATAGCTTATCCTTCAACATTATTGCTACTCCTTCTTTAGCTCTAACTCTATTTGAAACCCCTGACCTAATCCCATTTATTCCTCTCCATTGAAACTCTCCCACCCCCTTCAGCTTTGTTTCACTTAAAACCAGGACATCCAGCTTCTTCTCATTCATAACATCCACAATCATCTCTTTCTTATCATTTGCACAACATCCACGCACATTCAGACTTCCCACTTTGACAATTTTCTTCTTCTTATTCTTTTTAGTAATCTTTACAGGAAAAGGGGTTACTAGCCCATTGTTCCCGGCATTTTAGTTGACTTTTACAACGCGCATGGCTTACGGAGGAAAGATTCTTTTTCCACTTCCCCATGGATATAAAAGGAAAAGTAATAAGACCAAGAACTATTAAGATAAAATAAACGTGTACATGTATGTGTAGTGTGACCTAAGTGTAAGTAGAAGTAGCAAGACATGCCTGTAATCTATTAATAATAATAATTAATATTAATAATATTAATAATAATAATAATATTAATAATATTAATAATAATTTTTTTTTTTTCAACAAGTCGGCCGTCTCCCACCGAGGCAGGGTGACCCAAAAAAGAAAGAAAATAATAATATTAATAATAATATTAATATATTAATATTATTAATAATATTAATAATAATAATACTATTACATAATAATAATCACACTTGGGCACATTAAATATTTTAGGTTAATATAGATCTTTTCATTAATCCATCTGTGGTATTTTGTTTAAAATTTTATAAGAAACATGTTACATAGCATATAAACATGCAATGTTTATATGCTATGGAGGTGTGCTAGCCAGGCAGAGGGAAAACATTACATTTTCTCTGGTCCAGCGCCAGAGAAAATGTGTATGAATCTGCGTCGGCCAGGTCACCACCCTTAATACATAACGCTTTTTTTTACAATTCTCGGCATGAATTATTCATTACTTCTCTCCTTGTTCATGATGGCATCTAAAGGTAGTTGTTAGAAACGATTAAACTCGGTGAACATGGTATGTTGATGGTAATAATATGGCTCTGGGTCGCGTTAAATATTGTGTAGCTAGAATGTGGAAGACTTGGTGGAGAAATATCACCCTAACAAAGCTGTTGCAAGCTGTGTCTGCATGGCCCAGAGACTCTCAAGCTGGTCCTAGTGCCAGTAAAAGACAAAGAAGGGAAGTAACCCGAATAGGGCTTTGATACCTGAAGTCCTTATGGAGGGGGATTTCCCTTCCAAACAATAATCTCTCCTCTCTCTCCTCTCCTCGCTGTTTTCCATACGTCAGTAAGTCTCTTCAATAAAGGTAAAAGTTATTTAAATGTTCATTTATCCATTAAAATTAGTCATTTATATTTATTTCTCATTGTTTTCTGTATGTAAAACTATAGTTATTCTCTACAAAATGTATTTTTTATTAATATTTTTGGGTGTCTGAAATGGATTAATTGGATTTACATTATTTCTTATGAGAAATATTACTTCGGTTTTCATCCATTTTGGATTTCGACCGACCTTCTGGAACAGATTAAGGACGAAAACCGGGGTTCCACTGTATGTGCATTTTGTCGAGGTCTTTGTAGTTAGAGTGTATATTTCCTAATGTAACAAGTAATGCTATTTGTAGCATTAAATTTTGACAATGCCACATGTAAGCTTGTGAGAGGACAAATATTTTGGAATATAGTAACTGATAAATTCAGTTACCGTGTGAAAAGTCTGTAGTTGGTATGGTCATGTGGGATATAAATTTTATAATTTGAAACTCCTTGTATTTTAAGAGATTAAGTTCTCAACAAATTTGCATTGTTACATTTCTAGAGGCCTTGCGAAATTAATAACCGTAGGTAAAAAAAGATTGGTCTGCATAGCAAATTTTTTTCAGATTTTAGTTTATTTTGTATTTCATTGATCATGTCTCTATAACTTATCACACTAATATGGTTAATATTAGCATTAATAAGAAATAACAACCAGAATATAAAGAAAAGCTTGTGAGCCAGAAAAATGTTGGCCTGGTCTGAGACCTCAGCATTGATCCTCAAATACATCTTTCAGATATCAGGTATTAGCAGGTAACCCATTAGTAATGTTAGGGGACAGAAATTCGTGAATAAGGAAGTTTATGAATTTGTAGAGAGAATTGTACTGGTGTATTATGTATGGCTTGGTTCACTTCTTGCTAATACAGCCTCTCCTCACTAAGCGATGTACTCGTTTACCGACGACTCAGACTGACGACGGACTCTCTCACCAGTTTGCATGCCTAAATAATGAATCTTAGAGCTAATTTCCTCAATTCTGTTTATTACAATATGCAGTATGCTACTGTATAAACATTAAAAATATATCAGAAATGTTATAAATGGTGCAATGATGACGTTAAAACAATATCAAAGATGGTTGTCAATAATCCACTACCATGATAGTATGCTCCTCACTTAGCAACGAATTCGTTTACCAACGTGGTCTTAGGAACAGAACTCCATTGTTAAGTGAGGAGAGGCTGTACTGTATTGTAAAGTATTTTCACTTCCTTTGTAAAGATGTGGCTGGATGCCAGTGAAAGACTTTTGATTCAAGGAATTGGCAGTACCCTCTCCATCCTCTGATCAAATCTGATTTCCTCCCATTTCTCATTCCTCAGGCACTATATTACCCTTTGAAAATATTTTTTTTATTAACGCATCAGCCGTTCCCAACCATGGCAGGGTAACCCGAAAAAGAAGAAACGCTTTCATCATCAAAAATAATAATAATAAAGCATTTGCATTGTTTACCAGTCATTGTTTTTCCCTTCCTTTCCTTCCACCTTTCCTAACCTGATTACCATTGTCATGATCATTCAGATAATTATGTCACAGAAGGCATTAAACCCAAGTGGGTCATTTGGCACTTTGTCATTAGATAAAGCCTTGCCAGTTTGGTTCTCATTTGTGAATTCATATTAATTAGCAAATAACATAAATATACTTGAGAATATTTATGCAAATTTTCACAGCTCTACTTACAGGTTGGCTCTAGTATGGAGGGGAACTGCATCTAATTAAAATCGATGGCCTCAGAATATTCTGTAATTTTTTTTTTTATAGGTAACCCAGATCATTCTTGATGGTGAGGGTAAAGCATGTGGAGTTCAAGTTAAGAAAGGAAAAGAACTACAGGAAGTTTCAGCTCCTCTTGTCATATCTGATGCAGGTACGTACACAAAATAAGTACGTATAAATGTTTGTAAGTAAATTCATCATCAGTTGTTCATTTTGCTTAATGGGTAAAAATGTGTAGAATTCATAAGCCACTTCTTCACACATATGCTGTAGTCTTATCAAGATTGATGAATTGATTACTACAGGCTGAGGGACTGATTACCTCATACGCCTTCTGATCTTCACCATTCTTCTTTGTATTGGACTATTGAAGCCACTCTGTGGCAAAATGTTTCCTCTGTAAAGAGTTTCAAGTGTTGCATGTGTCTAATTTATCAACTTGTCAGTTCTCTGAACCATTTATCTACAAAATTTTATATATAAAGCACCAATGTTATAAATGAGTAGATTAACTGTATTGTCTGTATTTATACTATATCTATTAAGAATTGGACTCTGTTGTTTCAGGTGTGTACAACTCCTTTCAACGACTTCTCCCACCGGATGTGGCCTCGTCATCGTACCTCTGGCCTCTAGTACAGGAAGGAAAACATGGTCCTGGGTCCTTGTCTGTATTTGTGGGTCTCAACTGTGATTCAGAGGAGCTTGACATTGTCCAACGGAAGAATATCTGGGCATATACTGGAAATAACATTGATAAGGTAATTAGATATTAATCTTTGCACTGTGTCATTTGTCACCTGAACAGTTTCTAGGTGGCATTTCTTCACAAAAAAAGTGAAGTGCTTCAGCATTACTCTTCTTGTATTAGGAAGAGGCCATAAGGTTTCCATGACCATATGTATTCTTGACGTTACATTGTTTCACCCTATACAAAAACATATTATTTTATAACCAAAATTTCATCTTATACTGTTTAAAATGATCCATGTTTTAGATTATTATTATTATAATCAAGGGGAAGCGCTAAACCCGGAGGATTATACAGCGCCTGGGGAGGGATGTGGAAGGCATTCAGGCTTAATTCAAGGAACTGGAGCACAGATCCAATTTCCTAAATCAAGAGCCCCTCACCAACATCAAGGAACCTTCCATGAGGGGTCCATGTTTTAGAATAAATATGTAATAATTTATTATTTTTCAAATACTGTACATGCATTTTGAGTAAAAATCATAAAACAGCTATTACTCATGTGTTTTATGCAGCATCAAGTCAATTTTTTTCTCTCTCGTGTGAATAAATTAGCAGGTTATTTCAGTATTCCCTGTATGTTTTATATGTAATGGCTATTATATCGCTTACCTATGCATTACAGTATTTGTTTGTTATGTAATGTATAGCAAAAATCAAATGGTACAATAATAGCTTGTGCTTGAAATTTTCATAGAAACAATTCTGCGTTTTCTTGTTCTGAGTGTTTTGCACTGCACTGCAATGTCTGAGTGCATATAGAAATAATACCCAGTTGGCCAGGCTGGTGACTGAAAATGTAAATAAATAACCAGACATGCATGGCTTTACTATAAACGGTGAATTTTGATGATAAGTGTCCTTCGATTTACAAAGAAAGGTAATCTCTTGTCTTTCTTTTCCTTTATTATTTAATACTGGGAACAAGCATTTGATTGAAGAACAGAAAGAAACAAAAATTGAAAATCTCTGAAACTATAACTTCTTCTTTCTTTCTTTCAACACACCGGCCATATCCCACCAAGGCAGGGTGGCCCATAAGGAAAAACGAAAGTTTCTCCTTTTACATTTAGTAATATATACAGGAAAAGGGGTTACTAGCCCCTTGCTCCCGGCATTTTAGTCACCTCTTACAACACACATAGCTTACGGAGGAAGAATTCTGTTCCACTTCCCCATGGAGGCAAGAGGAAATAAACAAGAACAAGAACTAGAAAGAAAATAGAAGAAAACCCAGAGGGGTGTGTATATATATGCTTGTACATGTATGTGTAGTGTGACCTAAGTGTAAGTAGAAGCAGCAAGATGTACCTGAAATCTTGCATGTGTGTGAGACAAAAAAAAGACACCAGCAATCCTACCATCATGTAAAACAATTACAGGCTTCCGGTTTATGCTCACTTGGCAGGACGGTAGTACCTTCCTGGGTGGTTGCTGTCTACCAACCTACTACCTAGGAAACTATAACTTAGAGGGATAAAACTCTCTTATTTAAGATTATGCTATAGCTCACTTAAATGTAGGAAATTGTCAGAAGATTGGTTGGTAACCTCCAATAAAACAAAAATGGCTTCTTAATTTTTTTAACATCCAGCCATCTCCCACCAAGGCAGGGTGACCTGTTAAAAACAGGCTACTCCTTCATGATTACTTATTCAATCACTGTCTTGTCAGGAGTTTGCTGACATCACAATTCAGATGACCTCCAAACTGCAACATCCCTACCATCAGAGCGCAGGAACTGTACTTCCCACCTCCAGGATTTAGGTCCAGCTAACTGGTTTCCGTGAAGCCCTTTATAAATCTTACCTTGTACACACTTGAACAGCGCATCATCATGAAACCCACCCAAGCCTCCTGGATGCCCAAGCACCTAGCTTAGATATTCAGCATAATAATGATTCTCATTATCTTTTGTATTGATCACAGGTCATTACTACTGTCTTTGAAAGCTTTGTGACATCCTGAATGGAGCAAGCCAAAGACCTGACAGTTTATTGCACTTGCTGCTGTGGTGTAATAATACATCAGTACCTGTAAATCTTTATGCATCTAAATATACATATTGTTTATCATTATGCCATATTGCTCATAAAATAACTAAAAAATCAATTTATTAATTGCAAGTAACTATTGATTATTATATATACAGTGGACCCCCGGTTTACGATATTATTTCATTCCAGAAGTATGTTCAGTTGCCAGTACTGAACGAATTTGTTCCCATAAGGAATATTGTGAATTAGATTAGTCCATTTCAGACCCCCAAACATACACGTACAAACACACTTACATAAATACACTTACATAATTGGTCGCATTGGGAGGTGATCGTAAAGCGGGCGTCCACTGTATATTTTTTTTTATTTTTACAGTTGTATGTCAATTATATGAATCTAAGCCGAGAAGAAGCTCTAGATGCCGATCTTCCTATTGTGTTCATCTCCTTTCCCTCTACAAAAGATCCTGAATGGAAGAAAAAATATCCTGGTATGCAGAATTAAATGTTATAAATGTATTTCTAGATGGTGGCAATTTTGGTATCTATCAATAATAGTGTAACCACTTCTAGAATTTTCACATAACTATCCTACAGAAGAAGCCCTTAGCACAACTTATCAGGGGTAATTTCTAGACATGCTTCACAAAGATTTATTTCTGCATGATACAGTGTTTGTACAGAGATGGGTGACATATGGTTGAGCATGCAGAAAGCCTATGGTTATGCAGAGCATTGCAGGCAAGCTTAAGCCTAACTTGAGATTACAATGGCAATAATTATTACAGTACTTTCTTATATTTATGGACATTAAAGGTATACAAACAACAAATTTAGGCATTACAAATATGTAGAACAAACAAGTAGACAACTATTTCTGTAAAGCTGAGTTGTGATTACAAGTAGTAAAGAACAAGAGTATATAGTTTTTAACATATTTTGCACTTCTTACCTTTGCAGTCAGCACTTGTCCATCATATAGCATTACATGACCCTTACAGGCTTCATGCATTTTTGTGAATATTTCAATAATCCAGCCATACTTACTTGTCCTTAACATGGTATGTATATTACAAACTAGAAGTATAATTATAACTAAGCGCTTAACACTTGTGAGTTTAGCGCTTAGTTATAATTATAAGAGCTTGTCATGTACTCTGATGAACGAGTCATAGGATGTATACCAATACATGCTTTGGTCTTTGTCAAGAACCCCTTCAAAGGAAGTGCCTTGATGCTAGTGAAAGGTTCTTGGTCGAAGGAATTGCAATTACACTACTACTCTCCACTCTTAGATTACATTTAATTACCCCTCATGTCTTCATTAATGTTTTCTGTATTATCATATCAAGTTATGTGACAAGAGGCTCATATTGGTCTTCTCATTGTTTCAGGCAAGACAACAATGGCTTTGGTGTCACTGATGCCATATCATTGGCTGGAAGAATGGAAAAATGAGCGTGTTATGAAGCGTGGCGATGAATACGAATCTCTCAAAAATACATTCGGTCACAAGGCTGTTGAACAAGCTTGCCAGTTATTTCCATCAATTCGGGTAAGTATTTTTATACATTGTGCATGATTAGTTAACCAAGTCAGAAGTCAAGAAAAATTAAGAGGCTGAAAAAC